AACATCAAAACTAGAACATCTGAAGCAGGTAAATTCATTAAGGTCCATGTGTTATGTGATCAACTTTACTCAATTATATCTGCATCTGATATAATTACTTTGAATTGTAGTGGTTCCCTCGAGATTCTGCTGCTCCAATATCACACGCGACTTTCTCATGTGATAGCCAACTGATATATGCCAGCTTTTTAGATGCAACAGTCTCTGTATTTAGTGCTTCAAACCTTAAATTACGTTGTCGTATCAATCCTTCTGCTTATCTTCCTTCAAGTGTGAGGTGATGCCTTCTTTTGCCAGCTGACTTGTGCTTATTCGTTTGATTTGTCTCACCAGGCATAAAACTTGTTCCTTTATATTGTCAGTCGATTATCTGAACTTTAATTGTCAATGACTTATGAAACCAATTTCTTAAAACTTTTGTATAGAGACTACAGGCACAGCTACAAGTGTAAATTTGATGGTTCTCAATATTACAGCCACACGTAAACACACGCTGTACACACGCATCATTGAAGCAATTGTGGCTTCCCCTCATCTTTCTGTCTGTAGTCTGACTTACGTCCACCGAATTATTTCTGGGATAAGGCATATGTGTAATAGTTTTCCTGTGAATTTAATGGTTATAAACCTTTAAACTAAAGTAGTCTTCGGTTAAAAGCTAGAAGGAGATGGGAGTCAATCTTGAGTTTTTTTCCCCCAAGTGATTAATTCTCTACAAAGTTTATCAAACTTCTTGGTAAACTTCAACTTTTGTTTTCTGTGCAGCAGTTCCAGTGTACAGCCACTTGTGATTGCAGCACATCCACAAGAACCCAATCAGTTTGCTGTTGGACTGTCAGATGGTGGAGTTCATGTGTTTGAACCCCTTGAGTCTGAAGGCAAGTGGGGTGTGCCTCCACCCGTAGAGAATGGGTCAGCAAGCAGCGTAGTGGCTTCTTCAATCGGAGCTTCCTCGGATCAAGCTCAGAGATGATCCAAATCAGCCATAGACAAGTTTCTTTTACATACTTGGCTTGCTGGCCCTTCCACAAATTTGGTATGTACTTTGATTTACACTGAGCACTCCAAATTAATTGATCATGCTACTCTCTAGATCCATCATGTGGTGTGCCAGAACTGAACTATTTTTGTGTTATCTGCAGTTTGTGATTCATGACTTAAAAATTTACTGAAGAATGACGCTCAAAGATGTAGATTTGACAAGTTGGTTCAGGATCTGTGTAAGTTATTTGCTTTAGGAACTTTGATAGCAGAGCTTTATCATGCAACAAAGGAGAATTCTAGAAATATCTTGATATTTTTACCCTATTATGCAATATTTAGAATGTTGATTACTTGTGCTGTTTAATATTTTACCTTTTTCCTATGTGATTTTGAACTTTGTTCAAGTCTCAGCTGTTGACCCATGTTGAATCTACCATAACTTAAGGTAAATTACTTGCTTTGCCCCCCTGTATGGAGAAAGGGGGTTTGCAATGTCTATTACATTATTGTAATGATTGCTTAACACATTTTAAGTTGTCGTCTCTCCCCCCCCCCCCCCAAACTTTTTAAGAGTAAAACATATCTTTAAAATGTTTTATTTTCATATGGTTTTTCATTTCATTCAGTTTTATTGCTTAATGCCATGAAAGCTTTCTTGAAAGTGGAAGGTTGCGAATCCCGTTTGTTACTTCATAGCATTAGTGCTAGCCCCTCTAATCTTAAAAACGAAAAAAAAAGAAAGGGTTGTGGCATACGGACATTGTTTACCAGAAATAAATTTAACACCCCCAAAATCATCAACTTTTTTTTCTCTCCCTAGAGTGCAAGAGGCAAGCTAAATAGCTTAAAGGGCAAGTGAAACCCAACTTGCAACCTCCTATCTTACTAGGTTATAGGACCATGCTTATTTGCAGCAACGCGGCGTGGGGAAAATTTGTTTAAACTAAGGGCCCTTTTGGAATTGGTGTGGAAATGGGCGTAAGAATAAAAATGAATTTTTACGGAAATGATTGAATAATTTCTATTTAAAATATTTTATTACAATTTAAAAGGATTATAATATCCAAAAATGGTGCGCAACCCCTCAGCCTGAATCGTGTCTCCACTAGCCCGGCACCATGGGTAACATTATTCACTTCCCTCCATTGTCGTCCTGCTGCTTCTTCCAACAGATTTCCAACACCTTCGAAGGTTTTGAAGGTTGTGAAAGAGGGGAGGAGGTCGGATGAAGGCGGCGGCGGACATTACGGCAGATTGGAGATAAGGAAAAGGCGACCAAAGATGGAGGAGATGGATGAGTTTGACCAATTCCTTGGACATGGCTTTCAACAGTTTCAAGTGAGGAGCAACTTCGATGTATCAACAACCCCTTTATTAATAGGCTCTGGCAATTTCAATCCCATTCTGCCAAACAGTTGTCGTTTTGGAAGTCAAGAGTTTGCGACCTCTGATCTCTCATGCACCGCCATTAAAGCATGGCATGGACAACGTATGAACGTGTTCTCAAATAAATGCTTCGTGAGAAATTAACTGTGTTGCGGAAGCGGGTGACCCATAACAGTGCTTGCTTTGAGAGATTGTGAAGAAATGACATATTTTTGCGTAAACAATAACATTTTTCAAATTTATATTTTCTCTATTTGTATTTACAAATCATTCTCACATATATTTTCTTGCTCTATTTTCTATTTTCAGTGAGAATTAACTGTGAGTAAAATTGAAAAATAATTATTAAGTATCAGAGGTACAAGTGACTCAAAATAAGTACAGGACTGGTTGCCAACGAAGAAACAGCTTTTATTTAGAAAAAAAAAAATCAGAAGGAACAATTAATTTGATGTTCTATAATTTTGTTTCAGGTCAACTCCATAGAGTACTCCCTAGTCCCTCCAAGCCTCCATAAGAAACAAACACAAGGAACAATCATCCATTTTATTTCTTGTCTTTATTCATTTTCTTATTCTCATCAATCAAGTTAGCGATAACTTGTTATACGGTCATCATGTCAAACAATTAATAAAGGCATATTTTTTTTAAAAAAACAATTAAATATCAAACATATTTAGTAATCTTAAATGTATTACTTAGTCCCACGAGAAACATTACAATTGCATATACCCTCTACCATGCAATGCACTGCAATGCAATGAGATGTACCATCAGAATGTTTGGTATGACATTGGACATGTGTAAAAGAAAAATTAATTTTTATGATAAATTAAATATGTAAACAAATAAAAAGACCAAAATATCCTCATCCAACAAAAAAAAAAGGTTTGTCTTATACTTTCGTATTTCTTCAACGGCAACAAATAAAATGAAAAGAAAAACAGGCCATCACATTGGCTTCAATATACAATAAAAATTCATGAATCACAGGTCCAACCATGAACTATACATATTTGGAACCAATTTTTTGGAACTAACTAACTAAAACACAGAGAATGACAAATCAAAACTAATAGTACAGATCTGGAATCAATTTTTTTGGGTCTTTGGGAAAATCAAAACTATTAGTCATTCTCTTCATACATCCTTTTTAATTACTCCTCCGGTCCTAATTATAAGACCCAATTGACTTATTTGAAAAGATTAAGGAAGTAAGTTAAGTTGGTTATTTATAATAAATAAGTGTTGTCATTCCTAAAATATCCTTACTAATTAAGTATATTGGCTAAAACTATCATTATTAGAAGGATTATTTTGGAAAAAAATGAATAAATATAAGAGACAAAATGGATTGAGATCTTATAATTAGGACCAAATAAAAAATCAAATGGGGTCTTATAATAAGGACCGGAGGAGTACTTTGTTTTGAAATCGAATGTCTGAGGTGAAAGCTATGGAGTGTGACTGTAAGAAGGAATCATGATTGGGAAATGAAGATTTGCCAACGTTAAAGGAACAGGCTTCGTCAATATTGGAGGTGAGTGAGACAGAGGCCGCAGAAGAAATCCAAGAAGTAGAAGATGAGGGGGAGGGATTGAGGGTATTTTGTGTCTTCTTACATTGGATATGGTGGGCAAATAAGACTTTTCAAAATATGCAATGGGGTGGTAATGAGTATTCATAAGGGGAGAGGTGTGAATGGATATTACCAAATTTTTGGTAATCATCGGCAAATCTTATTACCATACTAAAAACCAACCAAACATCATTCTTTTGGTAATGCAATCCCCATTACCATCATAGGCCTGCAATGGGGTTGAACCAAACGGACCCACGAGAAACGATTTCTTTTTTGGGCAATAAAGTTCATAGGCCAAAATAGACATTTAATCATATGAGCATCGTATATTATACGAGTAATAATAGGCTAGAAGGGTAATTAGGAATCAGTTAGGAAGCCGTTTATGGAGTTCTTTTTAAGCAAATCAAAACTACTTATGCGTTCAACACTTTTTTTTTGCGGCCAGAACTTGTGCATTTAGCACTGGAAGCTCTGGTTACTACTGTTTTTGGTTTTTAATATAAGAATTAGTTGGTTGATTTGAGTAAATTAAAAAAATTTATTAAGCTAATTATTTGCAACAAACTGATACTGTCTTTCTTAGAATACATTTGCTAATAATGTATATTATTTGATAAAATTTTTAGCATGTACAACAAAGATTAATTTTAAAAAAATAAATAAATATGAGAGATAAAATGAATTGGAATATTATATTTAGAACTGAACTGAAAACTAAACAAGTTCTTATACTAAAAATCAGAGATAGTAGTTGGTCAACAAAAATAAGGTTCTAGCTACTCCTATAAATGACTTGGATATTGGCTAATAAAAATTCATCCTGTTTGGTCCGAGGAGAAACGAAAATGTAAAATAGGACAAGAAAAATTAATCAAAAACTTCAATACATCAATTCTTACCGTCCATGGCGATAGAAAAATTTACCAAGTGAGAATGTCGCGATTAGAGGCTTTTGGTAATAAAATACTCGCTTAATTCTGCGGTCGCCAAGATTCTAGAACATTCAAATTATCAACCTAAGTTGCCTGTATCTTTTTCTTGTTCTAATAAAAAAATTTAAAATCCAACTCTTTATTGCTGTCTGCGCAGTAGATCGGGTAATGACAGAAATCACCCGTCATCTTATTACAGAGATTACTTGCCAATTGCCACGAGCTATGTAACACATCATGATAATATGAAAGAAAAGCCTGAGACCACGAGAAGACGCCATCCATTAATCTCTGTACAATTTAAGCTCTTCTTCCAGTACCACCTTCCAATCATTACCGTATATACATATATACAAACATATCACAGAGCCCCGGGGGGAGGGAAGAGGGGGGGAGGGGTGGTTCTCTGCCTACTCAGGCCGAAAGCTGACCAGATTTGGTAGATCTGTGGATTGAAGTTTCTTGATGTCATTTGCAGTCACTTTACATGATTCCAGGGTCAGAGATCTCAAGTTCTTGAGCGTTTTCAAATGCCGCAACCCAGCACTGGTGATGCGAGAATTTGAAACGTTCAAAGATATCAACCCAGTCAGGCCTGAATTTGCAAGCAATGTCAGCAGAGAGAGATCATTACAAACAACTACCAAGTCTGATCTCTACATAAGGAATTAAATGCAAATCAAGTCCTTTCAATTTTAGCAAACTTCAATCATTTTATGGTGACGATTTGTACACGGTCAACTTCAAAATGGCCATGTCAGTGCTTGGCTAGGAATAGAGACAGCCAAGCATTATCGACAAATCTTTGTTTCTTACGAAAGTTGTCTTAGCAGGAAAGAAATCAGTACCATCATGGGCAAATCAGTCAAAAGGTGGAAATTCCAGTTTTTTTGACATGAAATTTTTAATCCATCACCTATATTTTCTTTTCCTGTCTGAAATTGATCACCAAGATTATTTCCTCCTTTCAGCAGAAAAGCTTAAAATCCAACTATAAAACTTTAAAAGCTATCGTATGTTTTCAAACCAGAGGCCCCTTGATCAGTTAAATTAATCAAATAGATTTAGGGTTTTCATGAGTGATTACTTATCCATCAAGCTGAAAGGGTCTAAGAAGATACCAGAAATCAACTCCAGGCTTTTGTTTGTAAGGTTGCCGTTTTGTGATAAATTTAAGAACATCAGAGATGTAAGTTCTTTGATGTTCTTCACACCAGCATCAGTCAAGCCTCCACTGCATATTTCCAGGGACCTTAGGTTCTTGAAGTCTGTTCTCCATAAAAGCAATCAACAAAACAGTTTCAATTAGAATTGATGTCAACTCAGTCAGGGAACAAAAGCACAGATGACCCATAAAGTGATCATTACAACGATATTACTTACTTTTCAAATGGTTAGTTCCAGAATCTGTTATTCTTGCTCCAAACAAATCAAGATCAGTAAGGCCAGTCAAATCTGCACCAATAAACTCAGAATGACGTGTTCTGCCATAATAAGGTTTATGCTAAAAGACTAGAGCCAGGATACTCAAACTTTTAAAATTAAAATTCGTAGTGAGTCTATGAGATTAAACAGGATTTGGAGCCCATGTAAACTATAGAATATTGCAACTAGTCAACCACACGTACTTGTAAGAGCTGCCAATCCAGCATCAGTAATATGGCGAGCATCCAAATTTAGAGACTTTAGACATGAGAGGCCACGCAATTTCCTTAAGCCAATATCATTAACCTCAGTGAATGACAGGTTTATTTTCTCCAGGCTAGACAATCCTATGAGAAATTAAATAACACTATAGTCAATATAGGGGAATGCTAGTCCATAGCAAAAACGATCACTTTTTAATGACAGCTCATGCATATAATACTAGAATATAGTGGAGACAATCTATGAAGGTATCTACCACAAAAATGAATCCAGTTCGCAATGATAAGTTGAAGAAGAAATAAACGGAAAATAAAAAAGAACTTGTTATGAGCAGCTACAAACTAGTATTTTAGGAATAATGGTTTCAAAGAATAATTAGATAAGCAATAAACTTTCAAGACCATGCATATACATTCAAATCACTTTATTCTTCAATAACTAGAACCAAAACAAAACAAGAGTTATTGGTCAGTTTTCCTGAAAGACGTTTTTACAAATGTGCAAACAAGTTCTTAATAATTAAAAGAAATCAGATTTCAGAAAGACTCTTAACAGTTTATCCAAGCATTCCATCTTTAATCGATATTAAACGAAGCCATAGCAATAATAGAAGCGTTTAACCTGATATGTGACGCAACCCATTGCTTCCAACTTCCGTATCAGACAATTCCAAACATTTCAATTTCTGAAGGCCTACAGACATTAACAAGCAAATCTACATTTTCAATGTTAAATAAGGTGAAACAAAATAAAAAAACTGGATCACTTGCAACCAATAGAACACTATAAATAACCACAAAAATTCCCATTTTCCAAAACTTTTTAGACAATTTTTTCATCCAGGAAATCATTAACCATCACAAGCAGACCCTACAAAAAATTGGCGAAGAGATTCATATATCTACCTGCCAAGTTGGCCAATCCATGATCACCAACTTTACATGAATCTAGGATCAAGCTCTCCAACTTTGTCAATCCTGATTGAAAAAAATATATCAAAATTTTAAATATAAGTTATATCTTTCAAGTGTTCGGCGTCTTTCTCCACCAGCAAAAGAAAGTTCTGCTCCACCAGCAAAACAGCGTAACTTTCTTCTGTTAAATCCATTAACCGGATGGAAACGTTGTGCATACAAGTTTAAAGGAACGTGAGCTAAATAAGTCATGGCCATGGTTTAAACACTTGAGTCAAAGATAAATTTGTAAACAAAATGGTAGAAAAGTATTTAATACATGACCTGATGATTTTTTACACCTTGTAGCCTTGGAAAGATAATAAGATCTTGATCCCAACTGCTTTGATGGAAAAGAAAATAACCAAGTACTTATATACTTCAGTTTGTACATTGTCGACAGTTTATTTCCTCATTTTAATTCTTGAATAAACCAAATTGTTCATATGGTCTGGAAGAGAAAGGGGGGAGAGAATCAGGTGAGTATTTTCAATCACCTTGCACGTGTGCTAAGCATGCATCGGTGATATCAGTGAATCCCAAGTTTAACACCTTCAAGTTTCTCAGTTCTACAAAAAAGAAAAGACAATGCCAAAGATTTAACACCCGCGGAATAGTTATGGCACACATATGTGATAATAATTATATTATAAATTATAAAACCGCAGCCTTACAGAATTAATTATAAAATTTTAACTACTTACGTGAAAGCTTTTCACATCCATTGTCTGAAAGGTTACATCTATTAAGATTCAAGATTGACAGTGCAGGAAGCTCTGGCCAAACCCAAAAAAAAAGAAAGAAAAGAAAGCACAACGTCAGGCTAAAACTGAAAATGGGAATCTCAGTTTCACTCCCTTTAAATGAGGCAAGGAAAAAAAAAAAAAAAAGGCGCAATAAACTTGTGCTTCAAATGCCTGACAAGAACATTAGACCAGAAAGGCAAATGGTCATTATATTATTGGTGTTTATGCGTTGAAAAGTAAGCTGGGCAACTCTTTTTTAAAAAAACCAAGCACAGACACCAAAAGAAGCTCAAAGCTACCCAACAGAGAGAAAAGAAGGACACTATGCTGCCATAGAATTTTGAAATCCCCCCCTGCCCCCAAAAAAAAAAGAAGATACCCTGCTCAGCCTGAATATTGTAATTAAAAATATTAACAGAAAAAAGCTTAAAAGCCAAAAAAGTAAAGCAACCTGCGAGAGAACCCAAACATGCAGATGTTACCAGGCATCCTTCCAAATTTAACATTGAAAGCTTCTGTAATCCTGAAATGAATCAAGGAATTATTAAAATGGAAGAAAAGGAGATGGAAATGAAAAAAATAAAATAAAATTTTTCCACCAAGCTGACTGTTAGAGTCAGTTATGCTGTGATGTATAATTGTAAATAAATTCAAATATTATAAAGAAGAGGCAAACAGTTGCTAGCCGTTAGTTTGTTAGTATGTTGTATCTCTGTTGAGTTTGTTAAGTTTGTTAGGTAGTATTTTAGATAGGCTTATGGTGTTATAAATAGATATGACCAGGGTACCCATTGTACAGATTTGATTTCCAGAATTATTCAGTGCACTATTCAGTTCTAAACCCGCCTTCTCTCTGTCTTCCTCTCTGTTCTTTCTCCTGATCATTTCTCCTCTGTCTCTCGTCCTAATTTCTACCTTCTCTTCTCTGAATCTTCTTCTATTTCTCTCTTTCTACTTCTATTCTATCATGCTGTTACGCAGCTAAGACTTGGAACAGTTTATTAGAGTGTCAGTTAAGAGAGTCAAGGAACTCTGCGCATCTATATCCCCAGTTTACTATCAGAGAAACACACAGAAATACTGTTGTCTATTCTTCCTCGTTGCTTCTTATCTGATACTAAGCCGAGTGATTTAGAAGCAGAGAAGGAAAATAAGGAGACATGAAGGATTGGGGATACAAATTAAAAGATGACCAAAAAGAAAAGCAGTCGGAAAAGTGCTACTATAGAAAAGACGCTGCGTATTTGTATGAACAAGATGCAAATGGTGAAAGCAGGCAGACATTGAACAATAAATCCTAAAATTGATTGCTTAAATTATTTTTATCTATTACTATCAAAGGTCAATCAACAATTCAGTTCAAGTAAATATGGCTCCATGAAATTCTTGTTGACACCCTCTAGCGTTCTAAGATATGCCCCTGCACATAAGAAAGGGAAGGCACAATACCTTCTAGAAAACTGATGCCAAGATCAGTAACTCTACTGCACGAAAGCTCAAGACTTTTCAAATTTGCAAGCTCTGGAAGCATATTGAATTGAAAAATTCTACTGTTAGTTACTGAGCCATGTCCTAAACAACAAAAAGATGACTGATGATTAAACTTTTATATACACATCCCCGTGCTGACAATTATATGATTCTTAAACATTGATAGTTGCATTTAATGTCAATCAGTGCGAATATACCCCAGTGAAGAAAATATCCAACAAATAGAAAGAAGATAAATGAAACTAAATTTCACATAAAATGGGCCATTCTTCATAAAAGCAACATTTGCAATAATGCAATGAGCCAATGACATTTTCTGCTGTGGCTTGTCTGCTGTGTGTTACTGTAAGAGGAGACAGTCAAGATTTGTGTGGGCAAAGATGGAAAATATCTTTCAACTTCCATAAGACAGACTGCCAGTTTGATATAAGTGCCATGACATTCATCCTGCTACTTGCTTATTCAAAAATAAAACGAAAACACCAAGGAAAATGGATGATTGAGAATAAGAGAATTTGAAATCGAAAAGTGGGTGGATAATTTCTCCTCTTGGAGTAGCATGCAGTAGACAATCCCCACCTGACATCCAACCCAAACTACATCTGCAATTACAGTACATCTCATTTGTTAAGCAAAATATACCCATAGTTCCTGCAAGCGCACAATGGTAATCTGAAAAGGAACTATTACACACTAAAAAATGCAGAGCGCATAAAAGAAAACCGACACAATTAATCTAGGTGGTATTCACTTTTTCAACTATTGAGACTTTCAGCTGTTGTCATCAAAGAGAGGCAAGATACAACTAACCTGAGAGAGGCTTCATGTCAGCATCGGTTATGCAATTACACCACTTCAAATTGAGAGATTCCAACTTGATTAAGCCTGAGAATTATGAATTAGATTAAACTGAAATTCGTAGGTTTTTCAGCTAGACCCACCATGGAAAAGCATGGAAACATCACGCAACTTTAGAACCAGAAGTCGAAGACCAAGATGCCAAAGTCCCTTTTCCCAATTACAAGTCATCTCATTCATTTTTCTCAACTATTGTTGCTCTAAAGCACTTACATATTCTTACTTAACTTCCATTTTCCAAATCTCCCATTCTAAAGCTATAACTAGATCAACATTTGTTCATTGATAGGAGAGACAGGAGGATGAACTATTCCCAAAATTCAATGTAATGCAAAGGGGGCCTTGTGAAACTGAACCCCATCTGAATTCGGACGCACTACAACATGCAATTTTTTTTTTTTTTTTGAAAATCAGGATAAGTGAAAAATTAATGACAATTAAATATCTGCATTGCAACAATAGAAACTGTAACAAAGCGAGATTCAAAATTACAACAGCATGGCATGTATCAATTCCTTTAGAGAACACATGCTAAGAAGGGCAGAAGAAGAAGAAGAAGAAGAAGAAGAAAGCGAATATCATCTACATGTCTATGAGACAAGGAAAACATGGCAGGATGTTATCAGCAATACATTAAGGAACCAACCTTGGAGATGAACAAGGCCTCCATGAACCTCAGGACATCTCTCCAAATCCAACTTGACCAAGTTAACAAGACCAGAAAAGCTACGCATTCCTTGAGCAGAAATCCAATTGTTTTCTTCTAAAACTCAGACTAGTTAAGTT